ATTGCATAATCCATAGATTAATAAAGTAAAATCATAACGTTAATCTCTACTTTACGAAGCCGCGGAGGAATTAAAGGGTTGCCGGGGCTCCGGCTCGAGGGGTAGGAAGGGGTAGTTTTTAGTCAGAAAGAGTCTGAAAACCCAGGCGGGAGCAGACATTCGATGATTTTTCCCCCTTAAAAAATCCCACGTTATTTTGGACTTTCGTTGCAGTAGCGTTAAGAAATAACCAGATTAAAGTAATAAACACATTTACTCCTTGAAAAACCAACTTTATAAAAGCTTCACTTAAGTCAACGCAACATTCTTCTATTGTTATAGGCTCTTGATGAGGTTTAAAAAATGCTACAAACAGACAGGAATCTAAATTGTTTGTTATTAGAACACTAAACCAGTTTTTTAGTTGTGTAGATGATAAGTTAGTTCGCAATATTTGGTAAGTAGATAGGTGTTTAAAGTCTACTTTAACTTTTTACTATTCAGTTGCTTCAAAGACAATTTGATGCGTTTAGGTACTGAAGTGACAAATCAATTTATAATATAATTCTGACAAGTCTTTCATTTATTGAAATATGTTTAAAAACCTTTGGAAAAAAGTATAATTCACACTTTCATAGTTCATGGTAAGAAAGATTTCGAAGCCGATTAGTTTGGAGATGTTTTTTATGGCATAAGCCGGTAAACGAGCATACGGATTACCTGATGGTTAGCAATAAAATGGTAAGGTTAGGTTATGGAAGAGTTCTATAAAATTTTGATAATCTTTACCACTGTGTTTGCTTATTGCAATTGTGATTACACACAGATACATTTATTAGTTTAACTAACTAATAACGTTATAAACGTGGACAGGAAATTACATCAAACTTTTTACTTAACAATAAAGGATTATATACTTAAAATAGTAGCTTGCGAGTTGTGGTGAATATACTTAACCGACAGAAAAACAAACCGTGCCCCCTGCAGATACACGTTGCAATATATCACTAATTTGTATGTTGCTAGTTATAAAACAACAGTAGTGGTCTTAAAGTTGAAATGTTTGTTTGTTTGAACACGAAAATAGTTTCGAATTCAATTAATCTTCTTGTGTTGGATTGTGTATTTATCGAGGAAGGCTAAAGGCTACGAAACATTACACTAGGGTCCGTAGAAAACGAGCAGGGGTGAAGCCATGCCAGAGTTAAGTCTAAATAATAAAATCTTTAGTGTTGCGTGAGCGGTGGCAATTATTTGCCATCAGATGATCCGTTTGTTTTTTTTTTGTTGGACTAAATACTTTTTAAGTTAACCCATGAGAAAAGAAAAGGTGTGATTTTATTTCATTAATAAAACTAAGATAACTATAATCATCTCTATATACAAGTAGGTGATAATGAAATCGTTACAATCGCCTACTAAGTGGGAGCAGCAGACACACGGTAATCAATTAATTGATATAATTATTTGCAAGTGCAGCAGATAATTGCTGCTAATTCTATTAGTATGTCAACTTACAATAGGTTTGAAGCAATTATGATATTATTATTGACTTTATTCACAACCCGTGACTGAGGCATGAAAAAATGTCGCTTCTATTACTCTGAAACGTGCTGATTTTTTACCATAATCAAGTCTTCCTTGTTTATTACTTCTAAGAAATTGTTAAAATGTTATTATTCGAGTTCATAGGGAAATTTTATTGAAAATATCTCAACAGATTTAAGTAGAATTATTTGATTTACGAGTGCAATTTTTTTGTCAATTTTTCTTTTTGTTTCTATAATAACTATCGTACATTAATTTTCTTTTCGTTTAATGAATGTAATATCTTTTAAAATGTACCACAAAATATCTAAATATAATATGTCTTGAAATGTGCTTCAAATTATACTTCAATAAAACACGTAGGGCATAGATCAGAACCCTGGGGAACTCCCAATAAAATGTAATTGAAAGAATGGAATTGACTCTATTAATCGGCAATACATTTTCTGACGTTTTGATCGATTAGGCTTTCATATTTTGAGTAGTTATAAATATGTACATGTAGCAGACTACGATTTCAAATCTGGCTTTTTAGTTTCATTTAATCTTGTTTATCACATATTGTTTCATTTATTTTATTTATTTATTTATTTATATTAATTACAACGGTTACACCAATGACAGCAATTAATTAATTTGTTATAAGACCATTATATCAATATTACAAATACACATTCAGATCCATGTCAACATTAAAAGAAATATAATAAAACAAAATAAAATTCAACTTCATGTCAGAACTTAAACCATATGGAACGTCAAGGTTAACAGAAAATATCATTATGTCAAACTTGTCAGACTCAAATTACCCACAAAACATTTGGAAAAAAAAACAGTAATAATAATTATATTAAGAATTAAGTCACAATATACCTACATGTTATTTACAATTAAGTACAACATTTTCACAAAATTGTATGGTCAACAGTACAATTTGGTTAAACCTGTCGGTGCATGTTAAAGTACATGAACTCATTGATTGCTTTGATAAAAAGCAAGTGTACAGCCTGTTTTATAAATTTAGTTCTAAGAAGTTAAAAATAAGTTTTGTGTACTAGCTATTGGCTACGACTTCGTCCGCGTAGAATCCAATATTATCCCATGGGAGTATTTAATCAGGATAAAAGTATCCTATCACCTAAGTTAGCCAATACCTAGCTGTCTGTATACCGAATTTCATCAAATTCAGTTTAATAGTTTCATTGTAATTGACGGACAAACATACAAACAATATTTGTGTGATGATTAAGTAATGAGAATTGGGCAGTAACTACACGATAAAACGACTCCATGATCTTTCATCAGTTAATATTTTATTAACAACTAGTAGAATGATGACCAAAGTCTCCATCTTTTTTTGTTAATTTTATTTCTTCATTATTATTATAATTTGTGAGAGGTTTTTGTGGGGTGCAATTACAGTGTATTGTAATAGTTATCATTGGAATCGATCAGATCATGTTTTTTCGTAGACGAGTTTTCGAGGTAAAATTTTTTTGGGTATGCTCATAAAAACTTGCCTTTGGGAACTATGTTTATATATCTGTGGGAAAATTGTCCTTTAAATCAAATGTATGAGACTGCCTCGTTGGCCGAGTGGTCGCAAGCACGACCGCCGGGCAAGGGGCCTCGGGTTCGATTCCCGGGTTGGGCAAAGTACTACTGACTTTTTGTAAATTCTCAGTAGTAACACAGAGGCTGGAATAGTGCCCAGAATATGGTAATAGGCTCACCCCCTATTACATGGGACTCATAACATGAATAGTGAAAAGTGGGTGTTACATTGTACAGTGGCATAATGCACACCTCTGCCTACCCCTTCGGGCCTTCGGGGATAAAAGGCGTGATGTTATGATGAATCAAATGTATTTTATGTCAAAATTTTCAATTGCGACTGATCCATAAGGTTTTTTAATGGAATTTGGTGTACCTACTGTATGGACTTTTGCCATAATTTTATGATTTTACCGCTAACATGACCGCGGTATAAGTGTTGTTTATTTATGATCCTTTACTCAACAAACATGTAAACCACTTAACGAATCAAATTATATTAATAGTGATGTCCTTCAGTACAGATTTTATCAAAGTATGTAGATTGTATACGGTTCACTGCAAGCACATGATCATATTACGTACTACCTGACGTATCATTAGATCTTTATTTCCTGAAGATGTAGGTGTGACTTATTGACCTTCATATTATACCTAGTTTTATGATTAAGTAGAGCGTCTATAATGTGACTAATGTGACTCAATTTTGGTGTTACATTGTTCTCGCACAATCGAACCAACAAAACTGTGTAACTGGAGAATTGTATTGTGAACCTGATTGGAAAAGAGTAACCTATGGAGTTTCTTGCTCGTTCTTCTTCATAGGAATCTACACCTTGGAATGAGCAAATAGCTTCACTTTTAAATTTCTATTGCTGACGTGGTCTAATCGAAATAAATGATTTTGACTTTGACTTTGACTTTTTGATCCTTATGTACCTAAATGGAGGGATCGTTTGAGCTTGTAAGGATGTTTGGAATTAATTTTATGAAGTTTAAAAACTGAGCATCATAATACTACATTCTATGATATTTTTCCTAGGAATCAGAAGACTAGGTTCATACTAGATTAAGGAAGCATTCATGGCCGTTGAATATTATTTAATTATTAAACTCAAGTTTATCCATTACCTACTATTTAATTATGATAAAAAGTCATGGCATTGTAGACTGATGGTTTATTTGTAGTTAATCATTATGACCTTGGAATAATAATATATTAAAATAAACAAGGAATATTTGTCAAAACTATCCATAGTTAATAGGTTAGTAAGGAATTTGTGTTTTTATTTATCCATTGAAATAAGAAGTTCAATCATTTATTGTTCTATGAGTGATTTTATTTTATGTGTCATGAGCATATTTATTAGCTGCGTTACCTCTATAGGAACATAAAGTTTTATTTATTAATATGAAATATGCTGTTCTTCTTGTATGTTATTTGTAAGTAAAATTAGATTTACTATTGTGCTTTGATCTTTGTTGAGTCATAATGATCGCCTTTTATTCCTAAACATAGGGTTATAAAAGGTCCTTATGTTCGGGGTGCCTTTTGTTATAGGCCTCCTCTTTGTTTAATTAAGATTGATAAAAAACTTTTAGTTTGGAATCAATTTTTATACTTAATATGAAGAAAATAGTTACTCAGAACTCAGTGATCATAAATTAGAGTATGAAATGTATTTGAAATAGATAAGCAATAAGCAATAGACCTCACATTAGAATGTATCCTAATCTGGTATTGAGTATGCCTCAATGTAATATAGATTTAATGTAAGTTGTTAGAACGATTTGAAAGTCAAATAAAACAACGTTTAAAAGAACTATAAATAAGTTTACTGACTACAAGGCTTTATACATCACTTTGATTTCAATATGGCCGTGAGAACCTGACTATGTTCTTTGAACTGAGATATGTGTTAACCATAGCTACCAGCGTTGGCTGAGGCTGATGCTTTAGCGGAGGCAAAGGAGCCTGACTGACCATAACCGCCGGAGCCACCGTAGCCACCAGCTGAGCTGGCAGCGTCACTGCTACTGAAGGCTCCATTGGAGCCCCCGTAACTGCCACCATGACCACCATATCCTCCCGCACCGCCTAAAGAGCCTCCGAAGCCTCCAGAGCCACTACCCCCGCCGCCGCCTCTGCTGCTTCCACTATAGTCTGCTCCGAATCCACCAAGAAAACTACCCACTAAGCCTCCTAAGCCACCGCCGCCGCCTCCTTTGCCACCGCCAAGGCCTTTTCCACTGCCGAGGCCTTCAGAGTTCCCACTCCCTCCGAAACCCCCATTAAACAAGAAGTTGCTTCCTCCACTTCCACTTCCAGAGCCACTGCTTCCTCCGTAGCCACCACCGCCTCCAGCACCAAAGCCTCCTCCGTAACCTCCACCGCTTCCTCCTCCGATGCCTCCTCCGTAACCTCCACCGCTTCCTCCTCCGATGCCACCTCCATTGCCTCCTCCAATTCCTCCTCCTTGACCTTTGCCTCCAAGGCTACCACCACTTGAGCCACTACCTCCAAGTCCAATCATAAAGGTGCCACCAAGTGAGCCACCGCCGCCGCTACTATGTCCTCCACCGCTGCCACCTCCGTAGCCTGCACCACCTCCGCCGCCATAGCCCCCACCATGACCACCGCTAAGGCTTGTGCCACTAGTGCTTGATAAGCCTCCTGAACTACCACTACTACTGCCATGATTTGCTCCACCTCCGAAGCTTAGACCTCCTCCGTTGCCACTTCCAAGGCCTCCTCCCATGCCACCACCATAACTTCCGCCGTGGCCACCACCGAGGCCACCTCCACTACTAATTGTTAAACTTCCGGCGCTTCCAGCACTGTTACTGAGACTTCCACTACTTCCACCTCCAAGGCTTCCACTGCTTCCACCTCCGAGGCCACCACCATAGCCTCCGCCATGTCCACTACTGAGGCCTCCTCCACTATTAATACTTAAGCCTCCTCCTGTGTTACCGCTACTGCCGCCGATAGTTCCACTGCTTTCACCTTTTCCACCTCCGTAGCCTCCACCGATACCTCCGCCATAGCCTCCACCGTAGCCACCACCGAGACTTCCTCCACTATTTATAGTTAAGCCTCCTGCACCACTACCACCGCTGCTGTGGCTTCCACTGCTTCCACCGCTTCCACCTCCAAGGCCTCCGCCGATACCTCCGCCATAGCCTCCACCGTGGCCACCACCGAGACTTCCTCCGCTACTAATAGTCAGGCCTCCTGCACCACCACCACTACTGCCGTGACTTTCACTGCTTCCACCGCTTCCACCTCCAAGACCTCCGCCGATACCGCCACCATAACCTCCTCCGTAGCCTCCTCCACTTCCTCCACCTCCGCCGATTCCTCCATATCCACTAGCGCTACCAGCCCCACCGCCAGACCCACTATTTCCTCCATGTCCGGCACTAAGTCCACCACTTCCACTTCCACTGCCACCAAATCCACCACTAAAACTTAGCCCCCCACTCGCTCCACCAGAGCTTCCCCCGTGTCCTCCACCCGAACTGTGGCTGTGTCCACTGCCAGAATTGCTTCCATGTCCACTAGACACGCCTCCTCCATTAATAGCGAAACCTCCGCTACCGCCCCCACCGCTGCCACCTCCATAGCCACCTCCGAAACCACCCCCACTGCCTCCATTATTGCTAGACCCAAGTCCTGATCCAGCACTAATTTTACTACCGCTCGCACTAATTCCACTTCCTGCGCCACTACTTCCACCATGGCCACTTCCACTAGAGCCACCCGCACCATATCCGCCTCCTCCACTTCCACCGAAATTCAATCCTCCACTAAATCCACCGCTACTGGAGTGGCCACCAGAATTTCCAGCGCCGTGACTTGCTCCGCCACTTCCAGAACTTCCATGTCCACCAGAGCCTCCGAAACTAAAGCCGCCTCCTCCACCAGATCCTCCCCCGGAACCGTACCCAGCGCCACCTCCATAACCAGCGCCACCTCCATAACCACCGCCACTCCCACCTCCACTATATCCACCGCCGCCGCCGTAACCGCCTTTGCCACCATCTAATGTACCAGTAAAGGCAAATCCTCCAGATTTGCCATCTTCAGATTTTGTGTATATTGATTTTCCTTTTCCACCTAGGCTACCACTGAAACTTGCACCGGCATTTCCCAATGCAGTGAGCCCGGATTGCACATCGCTAAGTATGCTTCCAACTCCTTCACGTATTCCATCGAAGCCACCTTCAAAGGATCCGGAGCCCCCACCGAAGCCGAAGCCTCCGCCGCTGCCGTAACCAAATCCTCCTCCACCTCCGCCTCCGCCGCCACCGCCTCCTCCCCCTGCAGCGCCGGCAGTATAGCCGCGCCCTACTCTAACTGAAACAAAAATATAACATCATTTTAGTATCATCAAAAAAGAAAACCCAATTTTAAAACAATAATTTATGACTAATGTAAGTTTTTATCTTTATAGAATTATTTATTTATTAGTGAACATTTCAATTTCAATTCAATTCATTAAAAAAAGTCGCATGACAATTACCTGATGCATTGCTACTGCCCAACAAGAGGCAGAGGACGATGCAAGAACGCACCGTCGTCATGATTCCTTCGATAACTGACGACGTTTACTCGTTAACATCCTTTTATATTAAATGCTTGAGCGTGTTCAAAGTTCATAGGAACTCATACATACGTATGTACGGGAAAAACGATTAGTTTTTATAATGCTTTATACTTCTCACAACTGGTTATAAATGTAGTGAAGTAGTCGTTTTTGTTGCGTTGAGATTAGTCAGAAGCGATAGTAAATATCATGGCATCTTCGTCTTTGGGTATCCTTGAACTATGCAGTCTGGTGGAAGATCACTTAGAGATCTCGAACCGATATACGATATATTGAAGAGTAATTAATTCAATGTATGAATGAGAGAGTTCATACGCACGTACCGGCATTGTTATGGTTTTGCTCTCATTTTATCACTTCCCTTGTTGTTTCGTCTGCTGTTCGTACGGATTGAGCAATAATACAGATTTTAATTAGAAATATCACGAAGATCTATTAATTATTATATTGTTATCTATCAAGTCTATTAGATACATTAATACTAGAAACTACTTCAGTTAGTATTTGAAATAGTATTCTTCAATGCAAAGCAGAAGCAGCATGACAGAAAGTGAAGACAGTGATATTAATATTAGTGTTTTGTAATTCTTTATGGTTCATCTAATCCTCATTGTTTCCGCCTGACGTGACTGATGTAATCAGAAACTTTATCGTAAACTTCATTTTATTTACATTTAATGAAAAAAATGGCAGTTACTGTGAAAAATTGTTAAATGAAATTGATTTCTATTTCAGGTAACAATCTATGTCTTCTATCAAAAATAAATGGTTTTCAATTATAAAATAATTTGATTTACTTACTTTTGTTTCTAGTTAATTTTAAATTAAAGCAATAATTGCAATAAGGTAGTTCACGCAAAACCTGTGTTTGACATTTAAGTAATCACAGACAAAATTCATGGCAAAAGTTTAACTGGTTAACGAGACAATTGAAATAGAACTATTATAATCTAGTTTCTGCCAGTGGCTTCGCAATATAAAAAGTGGCCTATATTCCGCGCGCCTTAAGGAGCCATCAGACTACCACAGATAGAGCCCTATAGGGCTGATGCCGATGCTTAACGTGACTTAACGGGTAACCGGGGCTCCGGCTCGAAGTGCAGGAGTAGGAACGGGGTAGTTTTTAAGAAGAAGACATGGGATAATTCCCCCTTCCGTTCCTTTCAGACCGATCTCTTCAGTCGTTTTGACTTGAGAGAGTAACAAACAAACAAACAAGCATATAAATTTTCGAATAAAAATGTTAGTAGAATAGGATGTGAAAATATGTTATTCAATCTCGACAAAACCACTGAAGTAACCCCACTGGTAGAAGCTGGCTAATACAAGGAAGTTCGACTACATAATCGCTCACCTATTTAACAGATACACCTATGGACCTGTCATTCATGTCTCTGGGACGCGCCGGACTTTAGTGTTCCGGTGTTTTCATGGTTGTATCTATTGTAGATCCTGGCTTACAGGAGTTGCTGCGGTTTTGGCAGGTGGAAGCGGGCTTGTTTCATAAAAAAAATAACCTCTCACCTATTGAATGTCACCTTTTCAAGTTAAAGTAGGTACTTAATAAAGCAACGGCTATAATAATGCTACAACAGATGTTTAACTTGACCTTGATAACGTATAATTATATTATGTTTGTATTTATAGTCGTTAGTTACATCCTGCGACTTTGTTTACTAGATACAGCACAGGGTCATCAATGACCGCTGACTTATCTAGCGGACATCGAACATTTTTTCTTGTTTTTATAATAAGTATTTTTAAAACTGGGTGGGTTTTCTTAATAATGCTATTTATGGGTGATTTCTTTCATTATTTTTTTGATTGAATGTCAAGAGTTCTATCGATTGATTCACCGACCGTTCTTTAATTAGTTTTGTAGTGTATTAATATGTTATTTACATATGTAGATTTTTTAGAAAAATATTGGAAACCTAAAAATCGTTATGTTTTGAGAACAAAGTTTAGGATTTCTACCCAAAAAAATCCTGGTGGTCCACCATCATTATGTGTAAGGCATCGGGTAAATTTGGTCTCATTTTTATGAAGCTTGTATCGCTGACCGTACAATTGATCGTTTTACCGAAAACAATCGATAAGGACCAACCGATAAGCAACATAGCTTCCGTTCGGAGCACATTAACAATCTCTGCAGTTAGGTGGCGACGTAACACTGTTTGAACAAGGCAAGAGCAGCAATACATGACGTAATTTGTAGGATTTTTTACGAGATGCTTCGGAAACACTGTTCGGTGTCACAGAAAATCAGTGTGATACAACGCTTGCGTTGTGTGAGTGAGGTTTCCGGAGGTTTAATTCGGTTTTCCTTTTCAGGACGCTGCACTTAGTCATAAGTCTTCTAGAGTTTCGGGTGTCCATGGGTAGTGACGATTGCTTACCGTCAGGTGATGCATCGGCTCTTTTGCCACCCTATCTTAAAAACTGAGCGTCAGATTTTATTCTCGTTTTTGATTCGTATATTTTTAGTGTAGCTATTACATAAGTTCTAATTAAATATTTATTGGGTGTCCATCTTCTATTTGAATGTGACTAGAATTTTATTAATCCTCTGCTGTCAATAAGTCCTCTACTTAATGATCGGATAAAGCCACAAATGATTCATTTATCAAAACAGTTATGTTGTATCAGGAAATAGGTATGTACGTTTATTTATTTTTGATACAGTGTTCTGGATGCAAGTTATTTCCGAACGGCAGATCTGAAAGACACTGACGGAGGTCTATGTTTAGAATTGAATGTCTGATTTGTTACTAATGAGTCAGTTCTTGTTATCAAAAATATCGAGGGTTCATGAAGATCTGCCTGGTTTTCAATTCACAAATAAGTATTTAACACATTTGGTGCCTTGTCGGACAATGATGACCGACGCTAGCGGAGGATTAGCCTTTAACAGTTTTTGTCGGCAGTTAAAGGCTTAAAAAATAGACTAACCCTAAAGCCTCGGTTGCAGAAAATTATTCTATTTATTATATTAATTGTTTGCAATTAGAAAATATATATGTATAATGTACAGTCATAGCAAGATATTAAGTTATATATCTTATCGATATATCATTACTCACACTGTCTCATTGGTCGAGGTAAACACGAGTTGGACTACCAATCAAGGGGTCTCGAGTTTGATTCTCGGCTCAGATAAGTATTTATGGGAGTATCTTCAGTTTTTCGAGAAGGAGTCTGTAACAATTATGCAAACAAAGAACCAAGCCCTTACTTATGAATATAATAATTTAAGATTCTTTCTTTTAGATTCTCCTTCGGGGCTTGACGTTATGAGGACTGCCTCGTTCTCACAAGGAGTCTCGGGTTCGATTCCCGGGTCGGGCAAAGTATTCTGTTTTTTTTTAAACTCTCAGTAGTAGCACGAAGTCTGGAATTGTGCCCGGTATATGGCAATAGGCTCATCCCCTATCACATGAGACTCATAACATAAATAGTGAAACGTGAGTGTTACACTGTACATTGGCATTAAGTGTCGTAATGTGTACCATTACCCCCTTCGGAGACAATGGATGCAACGTAGTTTATGTTATTTACTTTCGTTGCATTAAACTGATACAAACAAGCTGAAAGATGTAACCTATATCAATGTACTACTATATATACATTTAATATGATTATTTATCATAACCAGTAATACCTGTACTTGATGTAAGCAGTACTAAGCACTGTAGATATATGATAAACTCTTCTTAATTGATACTAACCATTAGAAGACTGTATTCTAAGTATTAGGCTGAAGGTACACTGCAGGTAAGCATTAAGGCAAATTTTCCTCGCTTAAACATAATTCTGTTTTAAGTGTGGGAGAGCCATGCTTCGGCACGAATGGGCCGGCTCAACCGGAGTGATTCCAAGGCCTCACAGAAAACTGACTTGAAACAACGCTGCGTTGTGTTTCGTCGTGTGAGTGAGGTTATCGGAAACCCAATTACCCCCCCCCCCCTCCCCAGTCTCCCCTATCCCCGAATCCTCCACAATTCCCAAATTCCCAATTCCCAAAAGGCCGGTAACGCACTTGTAACGCCTTGGTGTTCCAGGTGTCCATGGGCGATGCCGATTGCTAACTATCAGGTGATCCGTCTGCTCGTTTACCGGTATGACATAAAAAAAGAAGTAAAACAAAACTGATTGGCGTACTGTCCATGACGGGTAGTTGACGAAAGCATGCAACCTACAAAATATGATGAAAGGTCTACGATTGCCGCTTCGTGGACAGTTTTCAATGTTTCTAAGCAAGATGCAAGCATTCACTATTTACCCAGAGTTTAAAGTGTCCGCTTCTCAAGCATGAGAGTGCAGATTCCAGTATATATTGATGTGACTTTTCCCGAGTTGTATGTACTTTTTAAGTATATTTTTTTTAAGGGAGGAAAATCATCGATTGACCGCTCCCGTCTGGGTGAGGCGGGAGGGAGGTTACGTACGTACGTACTACACATCTTAAAAAAACCCGGTTTTATAATTATAAGTTTATACATTTTAATATTCCCTATTAAGCTTAAAGCAAGCGTGGTATTCATTTTCGTTCTTTCTCCGTTTGAGAAGAGGCCTTTGCTCGGTGGGTCAGCTTACTGGCTGACGATGAGAAGATGATGAAGTCTGTACTCAAGTCTGCGATCAGTCTAAGAAAGATAGATCATTTATAAAGTTAAATATAGCGATCTAGTCACGACCAACGTAGGAAGGCAATGTTTCATAAACCGCATCCGGGTACTATCGCAGTATTTATCAAGATTCCTTTCTTATGGGTTTTTGTTTTAAATTAAAAACACGTATATAGAGTAATGTAAGGTATTTATATAAAAATCGTCTCGTAATTATGGATTTACTAAGAAATATTTTATTATGTTAGTGATAATCGTTTTAAACTGCATACTTTGAATTACTTTTTAATTCTGTTTAAATAAGATTTTCAGAACAACAAAACTATAGAATGGTGCTTTGCCTTTGGAA